CTCTACCTATCCTACTGGAGAAAACTTTCAGCCTCCACTTCCTCCTTTAACATCCTTTCAGTGATAAACTGAACCCGTAAGACTACACAACAGAGTTTCACTTTAAAAAGAAATGTTCATAATGGAAGCTGCTGATTTATTTTTTCAAAAACAGGGAAAAAAAAAAAAGGCCCTCAAAGGAACTGACCTTCAGACATCAGTGGGATGCCCCGTGCAGCTCTCAGTACTTCAGAGAGGGGCAGATAGAGTTCTTAGACATTGTGGCTGATTTAGGCAGCCTCGCTTCTCGATATCCTCTCCACAGAAGTCTCCTAGGATGTGATGTTACAGGGTAATTTGCAAACGGAGGTCTAGAGAAGATATGCCCTGCTCCTACCTTCACATGTGCTCGAGAATTCTTTCTCTGTGGTCTGCACCTAGTCTCAGGCAAGCCTAAGACCCTGGGCCTTTTCCTGCTCCTATTGTTCTGTGTCTTATGTTGCAAGAACAAGCAGAATATCTCCTTGGAGATGTGAGGATCTCTCCTGTGGCAGGAGGCCAGTGTAGACCTCTCCTGAGGTGAGGAGACTCAGCTCTGTTCCAGGGACCATGGGATGCAGAGTGAGGCTTGAGGAGCAGACTCAGGAACAGCTGAGAAAGCACATTGTCCCTTCTGGCCTAGAGCAGAGATGCTGAGCTCAGCTTGTGGTCAGTCTCCTCATGGCTCAGGCCCATTTTCTGCTCCCTGCTGAGCCATGCTGCCTGTGGCTACTCGGTTCCCCCACTTCCCCAACCCCACCCCATGGCCATCCTCTTTGGTGCCCCACTGTGTCCTTGCTCACTGTCCTTCTCCCTCCACAGGCCACTGACTCTGACTACGAGGACACACTGCCCAAGCACTCCTTCGTCAACCACTACATGAGCGACCCCACCTACTATAACTCATGGAAGCGCCGACCCCAGGGCAGCCGTGGCCCCGCTCCGCACAGGTATGAGGCGGTGGCAGGGGCCGAGGCTGGGCCGCACCTGCACACGGTCATTACCACGCAGAGTGCGGGCGGGGTGTACACGCCCACCGGCCCAGGCGCCCGGACTCCGCTCACGGGCTTCTCCTCCTTCGTGTGACCACGGCAGCCAGTGCCTCCATCATGGTAGGATGGCGAACATTCTGGAGTCTATTTTTGTTAAGACAATCAACTCCAATAACTGAGCTGAAGTTTTTGTTTAAAAAAAAAATTCTGATAAGTGATGATTTTACCTATTTGTGAACACTAGATTTCAATTAGAAAAGTTTTTTTAATGGCTTTTTGTAACATCGCTGCAGGAAGCGGGTTTCTTTCTTTTTCTTTTCTTTTTAAGAGAAGGTGTATTTCACTGGTGCAATGGCTTGGCACCGCTGGGGCATGGAAAGATCTTGGAGCTCCCCAGCCCTGGGTTTCTCCTTCCTAAGAAGGCTAGCAAGGGGAAAGAGAGCGGAGGGTTAAATGGCATCTCAAAGCTGCCCCCAGGCTGCCCCTTTCTCTTTCTACCTCCTCTTCCAGAGAACCAGCGGCTCACATCCTTCTCCATCTTAGGGCATCTTTGGGCTTGTAGCTCTCACTCCTGGGGTTTGAAGAGCAAATATCTTTACCTGGGCTCAGTGCTTTTTGGCCCAAGTGCATCCGTTTCTGAAATGTTCTCACTCAGCAGTTTCTAGGTGAGGAATCAGCTCTAAGTTTCCTCATGATGGACAGGCAGTTCTGGCCCTGTTGTGGCTCAGCTGATCCGGGCTGTGCCAACACTGTGGTAAAATAACCGGGGCTTTCTTTCTACCTGATGTACGGGGACAGGAAGCCTCCCTCAAGGATAGATGGCCCGTAGCAAACTAATTTCTTCCCGTGAACACACAGCACACAGCCAACTCTGCTAAACAGGAGAAAATAAGACAGCGTTTTCAGAATTGCTTGTTATATAGGAAGTGTGCATTGTTAACCAGAGTATTTTTTAAACCTTTTTATCTTTTTTTTAAAATATGTCACATCAAGTGAATGCGTCTTCGCTGTCTCCAGGTGCCTTTTTATTAATTGTTCAGCTTTGTACATGGGAAAGACGAACGCAACAGTGTCTCCAAATAAAGCAAAACAGCTGTGAGAAAACAAGGTCCTGAGTTACCTCCTGCACACTAGGCCACCTGTGCATGTGGGGGCGTCCTTCTATTTGTCTCCTTGCTCCCGCCACTGCCCGCTGCTTCTTGCCACCCCCTCCCCTCTCCCCACCTGAGGCCAGCTTTTAGCCTTAATACCTTAATAGATTTTTTGGAAGCATTTTTTTCGAATTGTCATTGTTCTGTTTTGATTTTATAGCTAAAGCATTGAATTACTTTGAAAAACTCAAGAGTCTGGACCATCGCTGTGCCTCTGGTCTATCGTGTTACTTTTCCAACAGAAGCTGAGTTGCAGGCAGTCAGCCCCTCAGCCTAGACCCTGAGTCTGGACCCACAGTGCTGCTGGTGCCAGCTGGTGTGTGTCCAGGGGCTCAACGTGGGGCCCCACATCTCCACCTGAATGGCAGGAATGTGGCACACACAGGGATCAAGTCCACTCTGCCAACACCCCAGATGCACAGTGGAAAAGCATGTGCTATTCTCAGTTGACCTGCCAGTGCCCTGAGCATAGGGAATGGAGGGTCAGTGCCACCAGGAAGCTAGTCTCCAGGCCATGTGTAGAAATATGGTCTCTACTTGGCAGTTTTTTTAAATCTCCTTGGAGGCAGAAGGAATGCATACTATCTGAAGTCACTGCTTTCAAAGTTTTGGTAGGGCCCCAGTAGACCAAGGAGCTTTATGTGGAGTAAAAAACCCTTTTTCAGTTTATCCAGAATTAAAGTATGGAAAGATTAGTTTCTGTTCCTTTCTCTCTTCCTTTTTACCCCAAATGGAGGGAATACTGTTCTAAACCAAAAATCCTACATGCTCTGCCCAAAGCCTCTTGTGTGTGAGAGTTGCTACCCACAGCTTGCTGGACAGGACTCACCTCCGTGGACAGAACCTGCCTTCTTCCTCTCGTCCCCAGAAGGTGGAGTGGACAAGAAACCACAGCACGGCTTCAAATTTCTTGGAAGATGAGTGATAAATGCAGAACATGAACGGACACTGCCTTCTGTGTACTTTGCTCTTTTAAGCCATAAGGATGTTGCTTTAAATAATGGGGGAATGTGTTGAGACAGTTTGTTTTGAGGTGTGTTTTTACTCTTGGGTTTTTGTGACAACACAACACCTTTTTTCAGGCTCATAGCTCCTGTGTTCTCATTACTTTAAGTACCTTCTTTTGTATGGCATGGTCTGTACAAGGCAGTATGAGCACTGTGGCCACTAATGGACTGTTGATGGCAGCATGCTGGACCATGTCACTGGAGGGGGCTCTGGCCCTTGAGAGTTACCTGTACCAAAGGAAGAGTTGGGTGTTTCTAGTTAGATTTCAGCATCCCTCTCAGAACCAGAATGGCATTAAGTGTCCATTCCTAACCTCTCATCTTTAGGGAGGAAGGAAAAAAAATCACACAATGGGAAAACGGATATTGGATTTTAATCTTGGTTCTGATAAAAGGACAAGCAAGATTTCTATAACCAAAGCAAGACTGTGTTCCTCTTGCTTTCTCCTGTAGTGCTAAACAGCACATCACTCACTCAGGTGCCTCACAATGAGCACTGGCTGTGTCCCCCCAGCAACTCCCTCACATGGGTCATTATGGATTGTGCTGGCAAATGAGCTGCCCTTTCCCTCCCCATGAAGACAATGCAGCTATGTGGCCAGGAGAGGCCACATTCTGTCTGAGCCCCAGGGATAGGTTTGCATGGGACCCCCTCTCCGCCTGGGACATGAGGCACAGGTTCCAGAGAGGTGTGTAGCAGGAGCTGTGCTTCACTCTTCTTGGCTCCTGCACATCTACCTTCTGATTAAATTGGCCAAAACCAAGCCCTTTCTCCCTGAGCCTTCCCTTTAGCTTCTCTTCCCCCCATGCTTTTAAGGCACACTTCATCTGGTGCCACAGCAAGAGAACACATGATGTGTGCAACGGGGGTTCTTTCCCCACCGGGAGCCATAGGAGAATACTGAGAAGAGAAAGAGACAACCTACTGCCACGCGAGGCATCCACAAGACCCAGGAGGATGATGCTCGTCTCTGAACTTCTTTGGATGCTGTGCTTGCACTTGGTTATGACTGGACTGAAGCATGGTGTTTGCATAATGGTTTGCAGCATGGTTTTTAGTTTTTATGCATTCTTGGCACACAGTGCAGTTACTCTCCCAATGAGCAATCGATCCGCTCTCTAATTCAGCATCCCTGTAGCATGGATCCAGTCCGAAAGGTGAGAACAATGTAGAAACTCATGAACTGAGCTCGTCTGCTGAGGCACATCTCCTTCCAGTGTCACCTTCTGGTTTAGGGAGAGCTTAGGTCAGTCCTGCAG